GATTTGATTTGAAACTGTCTCATTGCTATCTGTTTATCAATGAAACTTTGAAAAAGAAAAGGTTAATCAGTACAGCCTATAGATAATAATATAAACAACAAAGAGGCTTTTTGTTTTCTTTTTACATTTAACATTCATTTTATTATGTCTTTTTCAAGAGAGTTTTCTTCAGTCCATGAAGACCCAGCCCCCCTCCCATGGGCTTTGGTGGAGGCCGTGGGGCAGCACCTGCGGGTCCAAATCGGGGTGGAGGTGTTCGGTCCTCACAGGCTTCACCAGATCGATTTCTGACCACTTTGCTGTGAATGGCACAACTCACACAGTAACACAGCTTCACATAGAGCTTGGGAAGCTCATAACCCTCGAAGACACTCGCTTCAGAAATGTCCCTGATGGTGACAGCCTCCACTATGTTCTGAATGACCGACTTCTTAATGGCCTTATGCTTGGGTATGCAACAGGTGCAGTTCATGCAGCGAATAGGCTGCACATAACCGCGGCCCTTTTTGGCATGACCATTGTTCTTTCTTTTTTTCATCATCTTGGAAAGGAGAACCCAACAGTTGAGTTTTTGTTTCATTTTTTGGGTGTATGTATTACTTCTGAGGAGTTAGCTCAGGAAAAATTTAGACTGAGCTTAAAAAATGAAGGTCGCAGATCTCAAAAACCTATTAGCTATATGTAATTTGTTCTTATTAGAAAACAGAGATTTTAAAAGGCTTGCTTAATCATTCATTTGCTTATAAATTAATTTATGTGTTTTTATAAACACAATGACCTCCATAAAAGGCTTACGACCAGATTTCCTCTGCTTTTCTTACTCCAGTCTCCCAATTTGATAAGGATTTGCTCAGGTCTAGGAATGTTGCCTAGAATGTTTCCAAATTGCTAAGAAACAAAGTAGGAAAAGAAGTTGCCATCTTCTGCCTGAAGTTGCTCAGTCCTGCCACACTCTGGGTACCTTCATAGGAAGTTTTAGGTTGGCTGAGAACAAGATTTGCCCTTAACAACCCAGCAGTGCTAGGGTTGCTAGGTGATTGTGACATAGGGAAAGCCACCACCAGAGAGAAGCCCCAGCAGTCTGTGACATAACACTATAAATAGGAGACCTCCCCCCACATGCCTAAGCACCTCCTCACCATTCATAATGGATCAAGGGGATAACATCCACCACTCCCACCATGGTCAAATCCATGTTAAGCGGTACTTCAGAAGACATCCAGCACCAATCTCCAGAAAGAAGTCATGTGTCAGCACCAGTTCTGGCCACAGAAATTACTCCCTCTATGTCAACAGGGTCCTAAAGGAAGTTGTTCCCTGGAGGACCATATCATCGTGCACCGTGGACATCATGAGCACCCTCATCAATGACATCTTTGAGCACACTGCCGTGGAAGCCCACCAACGGATGCATTCCAGAAACCGCTGTACCCTCACCCCAGAGAACATACAGAAGGCAGTGAATTTTCTGTTGCCTGGGAAACTTGCTAAGTATGCAGTGGTTTTCGGAGTTGAAGCAGTCCACAGATATGTCCACTCTTAAATTCCACACACCATCGAATCTTGAGGAAAGTAAATCAAACATAACCCAAACAATTGCCTCAATATCGAATTCCCTTTTTTTTCTGTGACAGTAGGATTTCCTATTTTCCTTTCCCTCTTATCTCTAGAGATGAATATTCTTGCTATTATTTTAACTCTTTAACTAGATTCTTCTGACATTTGCCTGGGCTCCAATGAGAAATTGTTTTTCTTATGATGGGAAAGCCTGTTATATAAAATCAATGCCTATTGTATCTTAACGTTAATTATCTAAGAATCAATCCAGCTATTTTGTCAACCAGATTAGGCTAATTTTGAATTTAGAGAAAATTTTACTCAAATACTATACCAGTAATTTTCATTAAAATGTATTTTCTAGAGCAAACTACATTCAAACTGTTTTGTTTCTTAATGAGTATGTTTACATAACATGTTAACAACTTCCTTGTTTAAATTATTTCCTGCATTTCAACCAGTTCAGCTAATGTTCATGTACTGTATATTTTAAAGCTTTGGTCCACTGAACTTAATTGTTAATGACATCATAACACCATGAACTTACCACCCAATTTATGAACTTCTAAATCTTTCAAACTTTGCTAAAAAAAAACTTTTCCCAACCCCATCTTCCTGCCTATTATCCTGGGTTTTACTTCTTTCCCCCTCCATTGTTGTTCTATGTCCTTTTGCTACCTGGGTATGTGTCTGAAGATGTATACTTTGTATATGGAATTAATTTTGCCTATGTGACAACATTAATTTGCCTAGTGTATTACATGTACTCTTTCACATCTGCAGTTTTCTCTTCAATGTGGGTATGCAAATACTTCATGTTTCCAAGACCAGTGCCTGTGCTAGTGCCACAAAACAAGCATGCCTAAGCACCTCAGTCACTCCTTTGTGAATATGCCACAATTTATTGCCCATCCTCTGTTGGTAGAATTTGGAGGTGTTTCTGTTTTTGACTCTTATGAATGCTGCAGCTTTAATAATAATATTTTTGTTTTTGTTTGGTTTTTTAATGTATTTTCTATGGGGTCTCATTACACAGCTTGGACTCATAGTGATCCTCCTGTTTTCAGCTTCCCCAGTGCTGGAATTACAGGTGTGCATCACTACACTCCAGACTCTGACCAGCTCAGCCCACACTGGGGGCAGAGCAGGCACCAGATGTGGTGCCAGGGATGGAGCTGTGGTTCCTGCGCTTGCCTAAGCAGGCGCTTTAGTCCACTGAGGTATCTTGCCAGTCCCAATAATGAGTTATATAACCATAGCTAAAATATGTATTACTTGATGTATGCCCAGAGTGCTACATAATTAACTCTGTTAATCACCACAACCTCATGGATGATGAAAATGGGGCCTTTTTCTGATGTCACCCAGCTGCACAAGTGGAATCGCTAAGTTTTTATCAGGTTAACAGGCTTGGCTACAAGCAACCAGCTGTGTGCTGTGAACACGTGTGTAGATCTGGAGCACACCAGTTTCTCAAGGCAAACCCGCACAGTGAAATGCTGGCTCACAGCTAGCACACATTTAACTTTGCTAGGTGTTGTCACACTGTCTTCCAAAGTGCTTGTATCAATTTACTTTTGTAGTGGATGAAAGTAATTTAATTTTTCTGATTATAAGGAACACATAAATTTCTACAAGGGAGTGTGGCTTATTTTATACATATTTTTGGCTTGGAACTGAAGCTACACCAGGGGAAGACCTTCCCAGGGAAAGGCCTCTTTGATTCTCACGGAGGACCCTCTTTGTTTCTTCCAGGGTTGCTCAGTTCTAAATCTTCCTTGTAAGAGCTTTAGGAAATCAAAGGATTACAACTCGTGCCGCTTGAGTTAGACCTAGACAGAGGTTACTGGCTGCCCTCAAATTTAGCTCATCTTAATCAGATGCCCACATCTGGCTATGAGCTGTAGCCTTACAATCTACCTGAGATCAGCAAATTACAGCTTGTAAACCAAATATGGCTTGAGGGAAGGGAAGTAAAAAGGATTGAGATGAAATGTGTATGTGTACTACTCTCCACTGATAAAAGTATTATATACCACACATGTATTTATAGAAAGAAAAAAAAACTTTTTTGGACAACTCCACAAGATAAGAAAGGTTTTTAATGTTTTTTACAGTAATGTTTAAAGACAAACAGGGGAAACATTCAAAGTGCCTAATGTGGTCTACAAAGCCTAAAATGAAGATGAAGGAATTTTGTTAGTCCTGGTCAGACCACATTTGTGACAGTGATCCCATAAGGTTACAGTGGAGCTGGAAACACTTTTATCGCCTACTATTTTAATTTACCTTTTCTATGTTCAGTTCTATTTTGATGCACGGATATTTACCACTGTGTTACAGCCTGGCACGATGTTGGATACAGACCACAATGGGGAAGTTCATGGCCTTGAAACAATGGACTAAAGCAGATGGCTGAAGGGTATATGGACTGCGCTATCTGTGTTTGTGTGGCCACAGGCCATAATGTTTGCACAACAGCAGATCAGCTGATGGTGAAGTCACCTGACAACACCTTTCCCAGAACAAGGAGACAGCCTTTTTATCTGGCTGTTTACAGTAAAAGGTTGTCAACCTCTGTTTTTGCCCTGTGCTCTCCTTTTCGGGGCTTGTAACAGCCACCTTTACTAAGGCTTTGCCAGTTCAGCTTGGATCACAAGGAGAAAAAGTCCATAGTTGATTTTCAAATTATTAGAATAAGAAGGATAAGCACAAATATGATTCAATAATCAGAATAATGGCCAAATTACTTACACAACAAGTGTACAGTTCAGGGGCATTCAGCACATACATGTCACCCAACCACCATCACTGTCCATCAATAGAGCCCTTGCCCAACCCCACACTGCACCCATCAAGCAGTAGATGTGTTTTCTAGCTCCTGGAAAATACCATTCTGCTTTTAGTCTTTCTAAATTTGACTCCTCTAGGAACCTTATACAAGTGGAAGCACACAATATTTGTCTTTTCGTGACTGGCTTATGTCACTTAGCAAAATGTCTTGAGGACTCACCTATGTGGGAATTATGTATTGGCCTTTACTTCTATTTAAGGCTGAATGATAATTCCGTATTTTTATATACCATTTCGCTTAACCACTCACATACTGAGTGATACATAGCTTGTTTCCACCTTTTGGTTATTGTGAATAGTACTGGTATGAACATAATATACAAATGGCTACTTAAGCCTTGCTTTTCATACTTCGGGTTATATGCTAAAAAGCAGAGAATCATTATGGTTCTATTTTTTTAATGTATTTAGTACAGGATCTACAGGGTCTTACTAAGTAGCTCGGACTTGTAGTGATCCTCTTGTTTTCAGTCTCCCAAGAGCTGGATTTACAGGCATGAGCCACCACACCCAGACTCTGCATGCCCCAGGGGCAGGGTTAGCATGGAATGTGGAGCTGGGGATCAAACCCCAATCCCTGCGTCTGCCAAAGCAGGCACTATATTCCACTGAAATATCTGGCCAGCCCTTGATGATTCTGTTTTTAACTTTTGGGAGGGACTGCCCTCCTATTTTTGAAAGCAGCAATGCACAGGTGTTCCAGTTTCTCTGCATTCTTTACAACACTTACTTTAAAAAATAAATAATGTCATGCCATTGATGAATGGTATCTCTTTGGAGGTTTTGTATGGTTGTTGTTTAGTTCATTGATTGGTCTTTTTTAGACAGTATCTCTCTGTGTAGTTCAGACTGACCTTGAATTTTTTACATATCCCAGGCTGGCTTTGAATTTAAGGTCCTCCTGCCTCAGCCACTCAAGTACTGGAATTATAGCCATGTATCACCACCTCTGGCCCTTCTTGGAGATTTTGTTGTTGCTGTTTTAATGTATTTGTATTGGGTCTACAGGATCTCACTACACAGATTGGACTTGTGGTGATCTTCCTGTTTTTAGCCTCACAAGTGCTGGGATTACAGGCGTGCACCACCATGCCAGCCTCAGGTGCAGCCAGCCCTGGGGGTGGGGCCAGC